CCTCTCTGGAGTTTTTGTCCACAGGCTGTTCAATGGTTACTGGATTACGCGAAATAATTTTGAGGTAGGTATAGCTTCACCGAGCCTTCAGTCGTAGCCCCAGGTTTTCTTCAAATTTACATACCTTTTGGGATATCTTAGGTTATTTCAAAATGTTCTTCTCGATCTACCGTTCGACGAGAAAAGATTTACAAATATACCCATTTAAAAAAATTTGCGAAGCTGTTCGTAACTCTGCAACAACAAGAATCGAGGCTAAGCCTACAACTCTGACGTTCATTCGAACCCACTGACCAGTAAAATCGCGTATTCGTGTGGTTTCTCCGAGCATACCATCTTGAGAGTTTTCAGTACACTCCTTCAAATATTTAATTTCTTTAGCTCTTTGTAGTCTGGTGTCTTTTTCAATTACTTTGATGTTCCTACATACTAATGAAAACAGGTTAGAAAAAAAAACTAAATACGAGATTAATTCCCGGCAGAAAATATCACATAAATGTTATTTAAAAGTTATAGCAAACTCAAACAACTAATCAACAATTTGGTTAAAACTTACTGAACAAGTGACAGCGTTAAATAATCTTTGAAAACTATTTTCTCAACTGTAGGAGACGATCAGTGCATTCCTCTACATCTTGCTGAGTATGATAGGCCTATGATAATAAGCGTTTTTCTTCAACTCACACTTTAAAATTGATAGGCAACAAGTAAGTTATTAAAATGACATACACAGAAACTTCCGATTGGCGGCCATTTTGTCTTTTAACAATGTTCGGCGAGATAGATAAAAATCTATGAGGCAGTGAATGGTCATAGAAATTTCAAACAAAGAAAAATTCAATGAAAAAAAAAAAAACAATGAAAAAAAGGGAGACCACCAGATATGAACAAAAGTTTTATAGAAATTCAGTGTTTCCAGACAATATACGATAAATCCTTCAGCGATGAAAAAAGCCGAAGTTGTTTTAGTCATACCTGAAATTCTCTGAAGGACAATGAAAGAGGTTTTTGTATTACATGTCTAATTTCTTTGAAGATTACTGGTTCTTTTGATGATAAAAGTTTATCATCCATTCAAAGAGCCGGTCTCAATGCGTTTAACCGTTAACTACCAAATGGCTAAAATTTTCAGCTGTTAGGCGTAAAATTGACAAAATTTTACCTTTAGCCGTAGAAAATGTTATCAGCAAACTTTTTTTCATATCTGACGATGTGTCATTTTAAAAATGTCATAAGCATTGACTTTGACGCGTCTTTTCTTATGGCTTATGCCGTTACGATGATTATATCCTAATACCGAAAACAAAGACATTTGCGTCAGGTCCCACCTTGCGGGGGAGGGTACGGCTAATCGTTGGCTTTCGTCCCACAGAGTCATATTCCGCGAACCGGAACTGTCAAAATTTTCAACCGTTAACCGTTCAAGCCGACTCTTGAGATTCTCTAGAAATAATTTCACGTAAGATAAAGCTAAGATAACGAACATTCCTTTCAGCGAACTTATGGAATCTTAAGGAGGTTTTTTGACACGGGAAGCGCAGTTGATATCATATCCTGCAGATATAAGGACGTTTCATTTCTGGGGAAATTGCGGTAAGACTACTTAGAGAGGAATATCAAAACACATATGCTTTACTCTTTTTGCAATTCCTGCTCATATTATATTATCTAACGACTCTTTTCTCCGCAAACATCAGCTGTGTAAAATTTTCTTCCCAATTCATCGTGATGTTGACACAACTTATTACCACAAAATCACGTGTTTATGGTTCATTACACGCAGTCACGTGCTTCTGGCCTATTGACCAGATTAGATATGAGTTGATAAGTCAGTCGGAAAACAAAAGTGGATGACCCTTTAACATTGCTAAATAGGTCATAAATTTCTTTTCGCGATAGATAGACGAAATATCAATGTTAAGAACGAAGGATTTTCCCTGTTGTAAGAAAAAGAACCTCTATCTGTCGAACAGATAGGGGTAGATACTGAAGTGAAAAAAAACTACAATTGAAGTGTGACACAAAGATATTGAATAGCGCAGAATTTTCGAGTTGTTATTGATGAACTTTTACTGATGAAAAATATAGACTGTCCGAAGCTATGTTGTAATTAAGCGCTCTATAGCGATTCGTTTGGCAAAAGAAGTAATGCGTTCCAAAGATATACGAAATTTATAAATGAAAGAGTCGAGAAATTTCGGAAATGGCCCTTGATTTATTTAATTGCCGGAATATTTTCTAACGCTATGCACGACAAGGTTAACCTCATATGTCATCTTCGTTAACAAGACTTTTAATTAACCGGCTTGGGTGGTTCAATAATTTTTAATTGTTTTCTGATGCATGGGAATGAAATTCCTGGACAACCCTAACCGCATCATTCGAAAATGATCAATGTATTTCCAATTTCTGCTCACATTTGGTTTCCAAGAGCAATCATCATAGATCTAGAGTGATATTTCAATATTCAGAACATAGACTCCAATAACATTGCATGTGGTTAACAGAAGTTAATTGAAATTCGTTCGCTCAATTAGCCTTCTTTTTGCTAACTCTTTTAAGAAACACAGAGTTCACCTTGAGTCAAGAAATATAGTTTCGTGATTTTTCTTTACTATTAAATATTTAATTTCTCTTGAATAAAATAAATGACTTTGTTCTATTTGTATACATTCAGTATATTGTTCCAACGTCTCTAATTGCTTGCGAAATACAAGATAAACACTGCCCTCGGGGTAAGTCGGTAAAAACAGTACGTGAGTATGACTGTATACAGCCTGTGTTGTTTGCTCAAATTCATCCATTTTCATAGAAAACCTTAAATGAAACTTAAAGATGGTTTTTTCGTTTTACAAGATCGAAAGCTCAAAATTCTTTCTATATACTCACTGAAGTTCTAATACCATTTTAGAGTTATGTAAATCACTTGGTTTTAATTCCTATTATCCGGGACGAACGACTTTGTCTACTGTTCATTGCGTTTTCATAATCCTTGGATATAAAAATGAATTGTGCATGACACGCTATATTCATAGTGTTGTGATCAAACAACATAGTTCCAAATTTGTTTGCCACAATTCTTCTCCTTCAAAAAACTTTCTGTCAGTAGTTATCCAGAAAACTAAAACTTGAATCTATCACGTCAATCTCCTCCTCCTCACAGCATTGCATAACCCAGTGCATTGTTGACAAAGCTGAAACTGCTGGAAGTGTGTAAGATTTTTGCTCGCCAGATTTTGTTCTATCAAGTTGTTTCTGTGGTTGTTTCAATTGATTCGTCTTGGTTCCAAAGTTTTCCTTCAGAGTTGAAGCCGGCGCGCTGTTTCGTCTCTGCAGTTGTTCTGTTTTTAATCTTCGTATTTTGGTGTCCTCTTCCAAGCCTTTGAGATTTTCAAAGATTTCGCTGAAAGCTTGATTCATGGCACTGTCGAAATCCGTTCGCTTCTCAAGTTCACACTTTTGTCCTTTCACGTTCTTCATTGCAACAATGTGCGTAAACTTAAATCTCTGAAGAAGTTTCGACGTCTTCGAGGTTTAACTTTCACTGGCTTGTTGAACTGAGTGATAAAAGTTTTAAGTCAACGTGCCCCCTTAAGGCGTAATATTGTTGACGTAGCCAATCACGTGATTCGTTCCACGAGCACGAACTTCACGGTATATTGGTTAACAAATTGACTCAACGTGCCGCAAAAGGACAATTTCATTTCCGCGCGTGAGCACAGGGCTGAATATTTCTGTCAGGGAGGAAAGCATATTTTGGAATATCCGGCGACAGATACTGGACCGCAGAGAAAATTTAGGAACTCACAAATAACAACGACTTCAAGTAAAAAATGTTTCCCTTAAAAATCCAACTTTTCAAACAGTATCTTCTTACAAGCAGAAACTAAAACGCCCCCAGCAAGCTACACGGTAGTGTACTATTTCCATTTTAACAAAGATGTCGTCCATACCTTTTTTCATAATATTCATATTTGTGGGGTAATTTACGATTATCCGTGAGTGGGTGTGGCTTAAGGGCCTATATTCCTGTCTCGTCGGTAGAAGCTATATTTGTCGGTAGCATGTGATCTAATTTAGCAGCAGACAATTACAAGCTAATGACAAAATCCTCAAAGATTTCCCATAAAAAAAAAACAACAACAGCTGAGGTACAAATATACAAAAGTACAAGATCAAAAACGCCGGCTTTTCCCATGATACCTCTTATCGAAAACGACTAAATGGTTAGCTAAGATTTTTCAAAAATAAACAAAGCTGTATTTAGTTTGGAGTTTCGAACGAGGCTGCAGAAACCTTCTCCTCCACGGGTAATAATTTTCATTAAGACCATATTTTTACAGTTCATTGCCTAATTCTTCAGTCCTCGCGAATGCTTTTTTTTTTTTCGTTGAGAGCGGTAACAATGAAACTAATTCGGTGCAGTATCAAGTTTCGTGACTTGATGATTCCGTTATACATCACTCAACTCACTCAAAAGCTCATATAGCAAATTCTGGAAGCTTCCGCTTCCATTCAGAGCGGAATACCTTAAAGTTTTTCTCAAAAGTGACACCCTTCCACACTTTATGTAATCAGTCATACCAAATTTTAAATATTTTTCTTAGTGGCTGTGCAACTCAAGCTTGAAGAAATCATTCCCACGTGTTGTCCTATTCCTGTTCAAAGCAATATCAACATGTTGCATGGAGCTCAACGAAGTCTTATATAGACTTTATAATGTCAGAAAATATCGGCAGGGATTTACCTCGCTCAAGTTTTTATTTTTGTTGTTTTTAGGTTGTTTTTGGTTTTCTGGTTCGCGGTTTTGTTACTTCATTATATTTTTCCACTGGAGAATGATTACGTCTTCAATGTCTGAAGACGAAAGGAAAACAATACGCCCTCCTTCTTTAGCAGTTTACTCAGCTTATAACGAACATAGCTTCCCTCCCCTGCCCTCCCGTCCCTCCTTTCTTTAAAATCTTCCTTTTCAATGAAATACTGCTGACCACTAGGCTCTACAGTTTTCAAATATGGCGGACGCGCCGGCAGATATAACTAGCGATGAATCGTGCCATCAGAAGTCACCCAATGGCCGTGTTGATTATGTTCGGGAGGAATACAAACGTTATAAACGAAAGAAACCTCCACCAGACCTCAGTGAAGTAATCGATTTCCGAGATCCTTCGACATTTCGTGATCGTATCGAAAAATTCCAACTGCAAACACAAGGAAAATGCGACAAAAGTGATTCGAATTTCGGACTTCGATGTGTAAAGGAATGGCAAACGTACGAACTTAAGTCGTGCTCAGGGTTTATTTTTATAGTAAACCCGTTTTTACATGGAGCACAACGTTACTGGACAAGACGATGTATTAAAGATTTTCCCCGCAAACCAAACGTTTGTAACTTGGATGCGCATATGACCTTAGACACGAGAGAAACTGTGTGGAGACTCAGTCAGAGGTGAGAGACCAGACCAGTGAACTTTCTGATATCCATTTTTATTACAGTTTAATTGCTTCAGAAATAATAAAGCTCAGATTTTGAGATTAGGATAATAATCACAAAAGGAAAAAATTTTACTTCATTAAATTTTCCGAGATGTAGTAGAAGTAATCAAACACCCTCATGGATTGCCACCATAATGACCTCTTAAATAAACAATTTCTGATTCTTTCAATTTTCCACTTCTGCTTATACTGAGCACAAAGGGTAAGTGAGTGAAGTTCAAAAGTCACCTTGTTCTGTGTAAGGTGTGTAAAATTGTTAGATTATAGCATTGAACACAAATACTTGTCAATACTGGTATTTGGACCTTGGCATTTTCATATTATATAGCAGCAAAATTTTGGCAATCTCCAGTTTAAGTGGGAGACAAGTGCATGATGAACTTGGGATTTAGCAGTCCAAGCTTTAAACCTGCAGGGTAATTGTGCTGTGTTCTCTGACGAGCACATGCTCAACTTGTACATTTCTTCCTGTCACCAAGAAGGTGATGCAGGCGGTGGCTTGGTCGTAATGGACTGTGGGACATCTGGCAAAATGCTGAGGGTGGGAAGGCGAGGGAGGGTAAGGTACTTGACCTGTGATAGACTAAAATCTGATGTAGGCAGTAGTAACAATTTTTCTGGTCATTTCATGGTTGGTTAACCCTTTAACTCCCATGAGTGACCAAAACAGAATTTCTCGTGACAGCATCAATGTGACATCAAGTAGACAAGCCATGAGAATCGAGAAAAGATATCAATTAGGGTATGATTAGTTGATCCAATATCAAATTCTCCAAACTAATGTCATAAGATTTGTATGGCAGACAGTAAGGAGAATTTATACCAATGAGATCTTGAGAGTGAAGCATTTAAATGGATCACATGTATTGCATGATTTCATGTTTTAACAGCAATTTCTTAATCCCTCAGGAATAATGAAAACAACAACTTAATGGACAAGCTCCGCTGGGTCCACCTAGGATATCACTTTGACTATAATGTTGTCAATTACAAGCCTGAACGGTATCATAACTTCCCATCAGACCTAGCAGGCTTGACAAAACACATTGCTAGTGCAGTTGGATACCCAGACTACTCCCCTGAGGCTGGCATTGTTAATTACTATCCTCTGGGAGGCTCCATGGGGGGCCATACAGATCACTATGAGTCTGATTTATCATGGCCTCTGATCTCATTGAGTTTTGGACAAACAGCCATTTTTCTTATTGGTGGAGCAACCAGAGATGTACGACCAGTTGGTGAGTTTGTATCTTACTAGTTTTGAGTCATTGGAATAGATAAACTGCTTAGTCTGGGTTGATCCTCATGGACCAAATCTTGAATAAGTTATAAGTAATTTTTAATAGTTTAATGGTCATAGTATGAGAAAAGAAAACTGATAGCCCCTAAACATTTTAGAGAAGGCTCTTCTACCAACAGTATCACCTCTAAATCAAGCATTAAGCTCATGAAAATAAAGGAAATGATGGTAAACTCAAGAAGTTCTTGACTTTTAAAACAAATCCTCCTTGTCAGTTGTTGTCTTGATTTAACGCCAAATTCTTGTGACTAAAATACAAGGAAATGCGTTTCAGCCAGAGGGGAGCATTAACAATCTGATCATGGAAGTTAAAGGGTTGAACAATTATTAAGAAGAATCACTTACTGTGAGAATTTTCTCTTGATGCTATGTGGGTTTTCTCCACAGGCCTGTTCACTGTGATAAAATTTTAATCATAATTTTGAGACATATTGATGTGTCAGCATTGTGAGAGACAGTGTTGTGTGACTGTTGAGAAAGTTATAAAAAACAATTCAACCAAAAATTTTATATTATCGTTAATTTTTTTGCAGCTTTATATGTTCGTAGTGGGGATATTATCATCATGTCAGGAAAATCAAGAACTGCCTTCCATGCAGTTCCGAGGATTATTAAAGTGGGAAAGGAAAATGAACCTCCATGTTGCCTCAAATGGGAAGATGGCCTCTTTTCAAGGGACGTCACTTCGAGAAACCCGGATGAATCAGGTGTCCTGGATGAGAGCTCAGTAATCCCGGGTGCTACAAATAAAGACATAACCAAAACCTCTTGTTTAAATCGGACACAGCGAATAGAAAAACCTTTGTTCCAAAAATTCGGTGATGATAAAATTATCAGAGGATTAGAAGAGGTCGGTATTGATGAGAGAGGGCATAGCGAAACCGACGAAGGTTGTCGATGCGACCAACCTAATTTTTTGGCAAAATCTACAGAAACTCTTGCCCTAGAGGAATGGAGAGAGTTTGAAATCTATCTTTCGAAAACTCGTATCAATGTGAATGTGCGTCAAGTGCATGAAAGTGGAAAAACAGTGAGTTCATCTTAATATGAAAACTCAATTGTGAGTGGTTGATATGACTGTATAAATATCAACCTTGGTCTAAGGGAGGAGCGCATTTCCAATCTTGTTGTCTTTTTAATTGTTTTTATCCGAGACATTTAATGGCTTAAAACGTACTTAAAAATGCAGTTTTAGTAAGCCATCTCAAAGCAGAACAACTCACTATGTTGCTTGTATCCAAAGACCTGTGTATGTTTTTTTGTTTGTTTTTTTTTTTTAATAAAAGAAAAAAATAATCAATAAAAGAGCAGGTTGCTATTTTTAGTTAATTTTGTACAACGACAGTTGTTTTGATATGCAAAGTGATCAATTGATAACAATGTACGCAACTATTTACAAAGCGCTCTGTGTTGGAAAACCTTCCAGTTGCTATTTTTACAGGTGCTCTTTTGAAATGCCTTGAAAGTAGCATTTGAAAGGTTTAATTACATCCACTTACAAGAACATCTAAGTGATTTTTTCTTAGAAAGAGTCTAGTAAAACTTAACGAGACATTTTTTATTATTATTTGAGCTTATCATAGAATCTGCCTCTATTTACAAGTTTGTTCATCAGTAGTTTTCCTTGGCACTGTAATCACAGGTTAGGGGCCAGGTTTCCCATCGAGTTTCAAAATGGCAGTGTCAGTGTGAGTGTTGCACAAATGTTTTTTATGCCAAATTGGATTTCGAACTCTTTCCTTTCTGACAAGTGCAATTGCCAAAAAGACGTCCTCGTGAATTAGAAAAGCGTCAGTTCTTGACGACTGCGCCTGCTGAGAAAAACTTGCTTGTGCATGATGAATGCGTCATGTAATAAAAAGGTAAAGGTAAAGTTTCCAAGAAAACTAGCTCATGGATGATAACAGCTTTAGGGATCGATGACTGAAATTTCCAAGAAAAACTTGCTCGTGAAAAAAGAAATGCGTCAAGTGATGACAACTGCAATTGCTAAGAAAACCTTTCTGGAAAAATATATGCGTTCGGTTCTGACAAGGATAATTGCAAAAAAAAACTTGCTTGTGAAAAATGAATGCGTCAGGTTTTGACGACTGCAATTGCGAAGAAAAACTCGCTCGTGTATAATAAGTACGTCAACGACTAAGACAACTTGATTGTGAAGAAAAAATGCCAAGAGGAACTTGCGCGTGAATAATAAAACCGTCAAGTATCGACGACTGCATGCCGAGAAAAACTTACTTGTAAATAATAAATGTGCTAGATAAAAACCACGTATAACTTTTGTTAAGTTATACTAAGCGGAGTTTTATTTATATGCAAATTTTACAGTAGGACACCTTTCAATTTTCTTCTGTTCATCTCCAAAATTTTAACATTTTACTCACAAAATTCGATGGTAAGTAGACGCTTCTTCACCAGTTGATCTCGTGGCTCTTCCTAAATCGTTGAAAAAAAAACTTAAAAACAATAAAATCTAGCGAAGAAATAAAAGTAAAAATTAAATCATCGCGTTAAGGACAAAATTGATAGAATGTAATCCTCCTGAAGCCCCTTTCAACCACTTTCTCACAACATCTGCCGTCGCAAATTTCGTTCTTAACGAGTTTTTCTTTGACAATTCAGGCATATTTTCCTTCTACGATTGTCAGAAAAAGTTTCTAAAGGAAACTTGTCAAATAAATGTTTGCTCGTGTAAATACAGCTTAACGTTCAGAGCGAGAGTTGTTCGCGTTAACTTTCGAACAGATAGATTTAATGAATCAACAGCTTTAGCTCTCAAAAAAACTCTGCTGTTTATGATAATTTTAGTCCAAGAATATAAAACAATATCACAAAAGACTTTATATTGTTGTATTCTCTGTTCTTTGATTAAAAATAACAAGAGAAATAAGCTAATTTGGATATTATTTCTCTCTGTAAATAGTCTCGGAAATGACAAATTTATGTTTACATTGCAAGTTTCTTTGCAAAATTACTTTTAAATTTTTTCTTTCCCCAAGCAAGTTAAGCAATTGGCTTTGAATATCTTCTGGACGAAACAAAAGAAGTATTATAAAACAATCGTCCCTCTACCATGGCAACGATAATTGCTTGATTATACTTTCTCTGCTGCGCGCTTAGCATGATAATCGAGTTAGCAGACTATTTCTGAACAAGAAGAAATTCAGATGGCTGGAAGCGGAAAGGCAAAAACACTCCTGTTTTTATTCCTCGTCTGGGTAATTTATCTGATTATTGGAATGTTTGTGTTCAGAGCTATTGAACGTACTGAGAATGAGAACAAACCACAAGAGGACGCCAAGAAGCAGTCCTTGGACGCAATTAAAGACAATGTGACGACTAAGTACAACATGAGTGAAGCAGAGTTTGATATCATTGTACAGCAGATTGAAACAGCTTCATCGGATTCCAGTGGTGGACCAGAATGGAGCTATACCGAATCACTTTCTTTTGTGATTCAATTGGCGACAACAATTGGTAAGTAGGACAATTCTGAAAACTTCGTTTGATTGTTTTGTTTGTTTTCATAGCTAAACTTAACTGAACGATAACTGGTCAATCGTCACAGCAAGTAAAACGTTTCTCACCAGTTTGAAACAACTCGAACGCTTCCATTCCTCTCGGTCGTGTTGCTCGATCTTCATTTTTGCCACAGTAAGAGCAAGATCGTTTGATCGTGATACGTGAGTGTCGTCATTTGTCATTTTGGAATGTTTGGAAAAGTAATCTTTGAAATCATCGATCCCCTTCACTACCTTCAACAAAGAATGAATTTCTCCTTTCAAGATCAATACATTTCAAGCAAAGAAGTAATGAAAAAAGAGAATAATATCTAAGACAAGATATTTCCTTTAACTTTTCTTCTCTTCATAATTTCACATAAACCCTTCAAGTCACGCAATTCCAGCTGTTCTCAGGGATGTCACGCTTTTCTTAGCGGGAGTTGTTGCGTGATAATAATACTTGCAAGCAAGGCGCACGGGAGTTGACGTCACTTCAACAGCGTTTTCCTTAGATATGACTCTGCATCATTTCTAATAATATCCGGTATACAAAAACGAATACTGCCGTTTATCATTTCAGTTATTTCATATTTTGTTCTCTTTCAAGGTTATGGTAACATCACACCAGTGACAACAGGTGGCCGAGTGCTTTGCATAATCTTTGCCCTCATTGGTATCCCGATCAACATCATATTCCTGCAGTTACTTGGAGAAAGAATGCTTCGCGGCGAGCATTTTCTCATCATGAAATTCGAAAAAGGCTGCCTGAAGCGAGAGGGAGCGCCAAAATTCATGAATGAAAAATGCTCTTTCGTGGGTATTCTTCTGTTGCTGATTATATTATTTGCAGGCGCCGGGAGTCAAATTGAGATGGAAAACTGGACATTTTTTGAAGGTTTCTATGCTTACTTTATAACTTTTACAACAGTAGGCTTTGGTGATCTGATCCCAGGGTCAATGGCTGGTGGTTCTCCAACGGCAAAGCATGTGCTTGCCATCTTCTTTATCCTCATGGGTTTGGCGGCCATGTCGAATGTGATCAATGGACTTGTGAATTGCACCGAGAGTATGGAATTGTTCCGGAGATTGGGCGCGCGCTGCGATAAAAAGAGAAGTGTGGATATTTCTGAGACGCCAAAAACTAATGAAATGGAGTTAAATGAGAACTATGCTCCAGAAACGATTTGATTTTTATCTCCGCTATTATGACAGTGACGCTTTTCTAGTTTCCCGAAAAAGTGACGTAACTCTTCGTAAATTGTCTTCAAATTAAAAAACGAACGTCGCCATTTTGAATCTTGCTCGGCAGCCTGGCCGCTTAAACGTGACGTAGTAAGGTCATACATAAAAAAAACACAAAAAGGAATTCTGGAGTCAAGTTATTTCTTTACGTAGCAACCAAAGCAGCAACTAAACTGCAAGTGCTTTGTGCGTTGTATTTTTGCTCGTGAGGCCTGGTTACTGAGTTGTTTCAAAATTGCGGCGTCCCTGGTTGAATTTTCACCACATTCGAAGGCAAGTTTTGAACATTTAAGGTACCCTCAGTAGTCTGCAAGTAACAGATCTTTTGGCAGGAAATAAATCTTTTCGTGAAGATTTTGATAATGGAGATAAACTCTTTACATATAGATTATAATAGTGACGATAAAAATTTCTTGTCATTCTTATCCATTGAACGAATAAATTTACAAAGGATTAAGGAATATCATTTTGTAGGCCACTTTCCTTTCTATGTGTGAGTGAGCTGATCGGGAATTCCTCTCCTTAAAGTAATAAGAGGGGTAGCCTTGTGCAGAACCATCCGGTTTTCACGCTCCTGCGAGGATCATAACAGCATAATGCGCCGGAGTTTTGGGTGCTCAAAATAGCAGATGGTGATGAGAAAAATCACCATCGTTCTTGTAGAAAATCTCAGTTTTTTAATTTCACGTGACAATTTGTCTCTTTCTCCTCCCCCTTCATGTTCTTTTTCGGTTTTCTCATGAAAAGTTTTATCGTGAATCAGGAATTATTTGATGTTAAATCAATGTTAAAACTAAGTTCAGTTAAGTCTGGAGTCGAAAGGTTTTCTTAGAAAATTGTCTTTGCCTCGGTGGTTTGGTCTCGGTCTTCGCCGGAAGACGCGTAGTCTCTGCTCTGTGTTAATTTTTTAATTTTTAAGCATGTATCTTCTGCCATCCCGAGAAGCTTTTTGGAGCTCGTTAGGAGTTAAATTTATGCAAGCTAGGAACTACGCAAAAGCCCCTTTAAAACAAAGTAAAATTAAAGGAAACTCGACCATTTCAAATAAAATATCGAGCAAAATGTGAGATTCCTTTTTATTGAAAAATTAGCTGATTGACTCCACATAAGTGACCGATAAACTAAAACCTAGTTGCTGCGCTTTCCGCTCTAACAGCTCGTCGGCTGGCTTCTTCCTCGTACGCTGACCAAAAGGATCGCAGCGAGATAATCATTGTCACGGAACAACTCAAGGAGGGATGATAGCGTGCTGTGCATCATTGAGTCTGATTGAGTCACGCGAAAATCTTAAAAGATGAATGTTCGAAATCAACTGATTTTATTTCTTCTCTGGTTCTTTTACCTCACCATTGGAGTGCTAATTTTTAGAGCTGTGGAACACGATGGCGAAGGAAAGCAAGAGAAATCCAAAGAGCAACGGCTAAAGATAGCCAAAGACAAAATAACATCCGCGTACAACATGAGCGAAGCAGAATTCTACAATATTGTGCAGCATATTGAGGCAGCTTCGTCTTCGAATGGCGTACCAGAATGGAGCTATCTCGATTCTGTTTCTTTCGTGATTCAACTTGTGACAACAATAGGTAATTAGATGACAGATCTTCTAATTCAAATATCCTTAGATACCGTAGATCAAGCTATGCGTGGATCAATGTTGCGTGATGTTGTAAAATTGTGAACACCTGTTGGTTCGTAAGTACTTGAGGATGCATGAATAATGTTATAAATCTTTGAAATACGGATAAGAATCGACTTCTGTAAAATCAGCGTCTGTGTTCAGGTATTTTCTTCATGAACCTATCAGTTTCGAGATGACGTAATTGTCTCCAAAACCACTTCCGGGAACTATTATTAGAAGTTTTATGTGCCCACAGAAAACATTAGTGTAGTTTGAAATTTTCGGTTTCAACGAAAGGAAATAAATAAATTTCTAAGAATTGATTAAAACTTATCATGGCTCAGTGGAGCACCTTGAATTTATTCGATCTTTTGCAATCACGCGACCTTTCTTCTATTCAATGTGTCCATTTTGTGATGGGGCCTTAGATCCTGCAAATTATAGGCGTGTTTACTACGCATTTTTAATTTGTTTTCAATTTCTGATCAAGCGGCCATAGCCAAAGAAGAGAAGTCAAGAAATCTTCCTTCGTTTCATTTAATTTTATTCATTTATTATCATTTTTTTCTTCGAGGTTATGGTAACATTACTCCAGTGACAAATGGCGGTCGTGTGTTTTGTATAATCTTCGCTTTCTTTGGAATCCCGATAAACATTATGTTTTTGCAGTCCGTTGGTAAAGGCTTGCGTGAAGTCGAAAAATTTCTCATCACGAAATTCGAAAAACGCTGCCTGAAGAGGAATGAAAAGCCGAAATTCCTAAATGAAAAATGTTCTCTGTGTGCAGTTGTGCTCTTCGTTACTTTGTTACTTATTTCTGCGGCTGTCCAACAAACGATTGACGAATGGACATTTTTGGACGGTTTTTACGCCTATTTCATCACGTTTACAACAGTTGGATTTGGGGATATGATACCAGGAGACAGTTCAACAGAACATCGCGTCAGGAACACAGTAATTCGTATCGTGTTCATCATCCTGGGTTTAATGGCCATGTCGAATGTACTGATCGCGGTTATGGAGTCTACTGAATGTCTACAATATTTGAAAACTTACATGAATTTTTGCAGAAGAGGGGAAAGTGTTGATATTCCTGAAACAAAGGAGAGCGGTGGTGGAGTAGAGTTAACTGAATACCGTAACGAAGATCCGAAAAACAACGATTCGCAGCTTGCAGCGCCAATATGAAGTGTATTGAGAGAGGATCATTTGAATACTACAGGGTGAAAACCCCC